TAATTTCGTTTCTAATGTCGAAATTGCCCCGCAATCGTATCACACTTGATTGTTTTTCACTAAAGTCTTTTCAATGAGTTTTGTACTCAATGGATGACGAAATCAAAAGACTTTCCGAATAAGACTTTTAGATTTTGAATGTAGAACCAGAATAGAGAATCGTTGCATGACAACTCTTTGCATCATGGAAGATAGTAGAAGGAGAAAAAAAAAAGAAATGTATTTTTCTTTGTATGACAAAATAAATATAAGGAAGAAAAGATGAAGTGTATCTTATATCAATCATATTTTCTGTTAGTGCAACGCAATAGGAGTGAAAAACAGTAAGAAATATATGGAAATGTAAGAAGTTAAATATGAAGTAACTATTTACAAGTGCGATAGAAAGAAGTACAAAAACGTCGTTGTATAATAGATTTCATATTTAGATTAACAGGATTGTGTTCTCTTTAAAGTTTAGATTGTTACATCCCCTTTTGAACATTGCCATTGTTATCTGTTGAAAAAAAACTAAAGTTATATATTATTCGTGATACTATCATCAAGCGATAGGTAAATTGATTTGTTAAGTAAAATTTAAATTGTTTTCTAAAAATTACAGTATGGGTCTCCTTTATGCGAGATTATCTGTCGTTAACAAGCATCTTCATATCCATATAAAGGGTGTGGGTATGAGGGTGTTGGGTGTGTGGGTGTGGGTGTGGGTGAAGCTGTTCATGAATAGACGCTAACATCCGCACACATACACCCACATCCATACCCACACCATAGGATTATTAGATATAAGGTAATCGATTTCAAACACATCTGATGATCGGTGTTAGACAAGGTCGAAATACATAGCACGATTGCTTGGACTCCTTCTTATGTAAACTCAATCTTCTCAAGTCATGAATTCTTTCTTAATTAATTGATTCATTACTCATTCTCATCATCACATCTTCAATATGGTAATGATTCATATTTCTATTTTGTCTAAACAGAGAAAAAAAGCTACTGAATTGATGCAAATTCGATTTTACGATTAAAGAAATGACGAGGAGACAAAAAGAATCTAACAATAGGAAAGTACTGTCAATAGATAATGACGAATCATCAATCGAATTCAGGCAAACGAAAAGAATCTTCCAGATATAAAAGTAGCACATATACCCACACCCATACACAAAAATATCATGTGTGTCTCAAATTCATGTTTGTCTTTGTAAATTTTATAGGCAAAGAATCGTTAATTATTGATTATCATACAATTTTACAATTATGACACGGAGATTCGAAATTTTATTGAGATCGGGATTTAGTAAAAAGAGTTAGAAGTTTTATTTGTTGGCTAGTACTATAGTATCATATTATTTTATGGCTTATTGTCAAAATGTGAAAGATGGTGGCTATCTCTCCATTGGATGAGATCTTGTTGGGGATTATGCTTTTTTTGCGCTTCGTTGAATGCATCACACTCGATGTTGAGAACCTTGAGAAAATTCTGTAAGGGAGCCACGAATGATTGAAGACGTGCGAGTTCATCTTCCTGACTTTTTTTGAATATGGCTGCTGTGTTCGTATGATAGGTTTTTCTGGCTTCTACACAATTTTCTTCGGCCAATTTTATATTTTTTTTCAATTGTTTCAATTTTTTTTCTTTGTTCCTTTGTCGTGCTTTCAAATCAAGCTTTTCTGATTCACTCAAGGAAGTTTTCTTCAGATCTTGAACGATATGGTCCAGACGCTTCTGACATTGTTTTTCTTGGTTCTTCAATGCTCTTAATTCGTCTTCGGTTTCATTCAACACTGCAAGTTCTTCTTGCAGTTGATCTTGTATCAATGGATATTGATTTTTTTTCTGCACAGATTTCACAATTTGTTTAAGTTTTGGATTGATATCATCCAATTCTTGAGCTATTTCATAGCCGATGGAGCTTGCAGCTATGAGAAGTTGCAACGTCGTTTCGTAGGATCCTAACCAAGACTGATTCTGTTGGAATTTATTTTCCCATTTTGTGCTCCACTGTTTATATTCGTCGGAATGTCGCTCTCGCATGTCATTCATCTCTAGGAGCATTGAACGTAGTCTCTTTTGAAGTTTGAAACCTATTTTGAAAAATGACTGGACATGTCAATCTAAAATGTGAGCAAATTACCATCAATTTGCTGTTGAGTGCCGGGTGTGTAATCGACAGTATTCTCTTCATTCAAAGTGCTCGCTGTCTGTGGTGTGCTTGGTGGAGATGATGAAGACACTGGTATGTCTACTTTCTTATTTGATTTCGATACTTGTCGTTTGATGTAGGATAGCAGAGGCATGTCACTTGTCTATGCTTGTTTGTGAACTACCAGATGAATGTCTACTGTGTGAATATATTTATAGTTCCTACAATGTTGGAAATAGTGATGTCAAATGTAACTCTTTGAAAGACGTAATTGGAAGAAGAAATCGAATAGATTTCACGAAATAGTTGAAAAATTACACCAATACATGCCTTCTTTCTTTCTGACATTACAAAAAAAAATACCCAGAGCACTGACACGTGTGTCTTTTTGTTTTTATTGTTAAAAAGAACAGGAATTATATTATGAGGATGAGATTATCGAAAATATTTGCGGAGCCCTTCCTCAATGTGTGTGTTCTGCACTACTTTCTTTTGCTTCTTGGTTGTTAATAGAAAGAAAAACAGAAAACGATTTTGTCCAGTTGTTGAAGGTAGAGAATGTTTGTGCAGAACAAACAAGAAACAAAAAAAAACAACATATAATAGAACTTTTATAATATGAATCTTTATGAAACGCACGAAGAGCACGATGGATGTTTGGATTTGTCCACAAATCTAACTTGGTATTTTTCTCCATTGCAAAGGAATGATGACTCGTATTTGTTTAGTAATAGTTTGTTGGAAAAAACCCAAGACATATTACGATCATAAAATGCAGTAACTCACTCAAGGTGAATTCTGATTGACATCAATAAACAAATTCAGTGGAAAGATAAAAAGTAACAATTAATGTATGGCAATGGAAGAAAACAAATCGCAACAATAAAATATTGACGAAGTGTCATAGTTTAAACGTATATCGAACTTTAGGCGAACATATAACTAATTGGTCAAACAGATCTCGTATGAGTAAATGAGCTCCTTTCTGAAGAAATATGTGAACGAATGGATCATTTGACATTCATCTCGAGCGTATTTCTGCAAATAGTGAACATTGTCTTTAGTTATCGAATTTGAATCAGCTGACTTTAATAATTGAAGATAGATCCTATTTATCAAATATGAATCAACCTACAATTACTTCCATATGCCTATTATATGTAATTATAAGCCATAAACGCTTTATTTGCGAATCCAATCGCGTCAAATGTGTCATTTGATTCATATAGCTCTAACGGATCTTGAAGATTTCAGTTGATTAAGTTTTGCCTTGAAGTCAACATATTTGACTCAAGACGAAAATTGTAATCAAATAAGAACCAGCAGTATTCAACTTTCCGAAAAAGAAAATTTCCGAAATGGGTGTGAGTGGGTATGGGTTTGAGGTGTGGGTGCAGGTGTGAGTATTGTTTCTCTTCACACCCACACACCCATCAAAAATTAACGTATTTTAATCTTTCATCTTCATTCGATCGTCGAGATTTCTTTTTCGAATATAGTTTCATGTTTCTCTCTTTATGCGAGTAATACTGGAATATTCGATTTTAAAGAAAGAAAAAAGGATATTGTTGAAACGAATTCTTATTGTTTCACGACATAAACAGAACTATCGACAAATCCAACGAATGATCTTTGTTCTCTTTCAAAACATTCTTTATCGATAAATCAATCTCATCGACCGCCATTCAGTTGACAAACTATTCAACACTCTTTCTCATAAAAAGAATCGTCTCGAATCGATGTTCATCTTTTGGGTAGACAATGTTCTTCGTTTAACTGAAAGCTTCAGCTTTTAGTTTGATAGATTGATCGACGATAGTATGTTTTCTATTGTCATTGACTTCAAAATCGAGCACAAAATAAATACAAGGACTTTCAAGGCTGATTGTGTTGCACTGTGTTCAGTTAGAATTCTAAGAGTATTTTCATAGTCATACTTAGCTTGCGAATATCTAACGGAGTATAAATTGATGGGCCACATTTCGGTAGAGGAGTTGGAGAGCTTTGAGTTTTTAAACATAAAGAGTGTCCCATAAGAACTGACGATAAATTGTTGATGATATCTTTCATACTTTTTCTTGGCATAGAGTGCTGAAATTTTTACCACATATATGTCTAATCGAGATCTTTTATTTCTGAAAGTTAAACTCTTTAGCTATAACTAGTGGTGAAATGGATTGACAAGATTGCAATACATAAATTTTCGTCCTCGATTTTTGCATTAGCTTCACAGTTAAAATAAAATACAAAAGACGAGTACGAAGTTAAATATCAATTGATTATTAAAACAATGTCAACATCTATTTAAACGACGAAAATATTCATCAATATCTGTATTTAAAATGAATGTTGATGGTAATTTTTGTCCGTACACAAGGAATAGTTTCTTAAATAATGATGATGAAAAATTGTCCTATGGGAAATGATAGTGTGGATATTCGAATTTTCAATGAAATTTCATCAAAATTAAAAGATCTAACGATAAATAAGATTTTTTCTTTGGAATTATGTAAGGGTGTAGGTGTCTGCTACTCTCACATCCTCAAAAGCTGATAATGTGAACTTTAACTTTGGAGTAAGGGAGCGGTGTTGTGGATATAAAAGACGACATTTAAAATGTACTTTTGCAAATTTTTAATGTTTTTTCAGGCTATGAATCTTAATCGAGAGCAAATTTTACTTTGAAAGAAACGAAAAAGCATATGTTCTACGTCATCAACTAGTGAAACAACGTGCTTGAAGTATTAAAAATGGCAAAGCGGACGCATTCAAAGAGAAAGAAATGGTGAAAAAAATTCATCGCTTCTACCACATAAGCCATCAAAATTCTATTCAACATTTTTTTTTGTATAGATGATGGCATTTAAAGGTAGTGGAATACGAATAATAGTATTAGATGGACAACAGAAACTTATATCATCATTACGTTCGGCTGTAAGTGAACCTATCGAATCATTTACTGAAACTGCAGATTGTATCTCATTTCTTGAACAAGAATCAAATGACAACACATTTATTATTGCCATGACAATCATCGATGAAACTGCTTTACAAACTATTGATTCTATCTCATCAGTTGAAGCCATTCTCATTCTTACGACGGTGACAGTCAATATAGACACCTATCCTAGAAAAGTAGTCGGTGTCTATCCTCAAATTGAAATTTTCATACGATCGTTTTGGGAAACATTTGATATAATTGAAGAACAGCTCAATTTCAATAGTCTTCTATTTTATCATCATCAAGATGGTACTTCGGATCCAGCTTTTTTCTTCTATGAAATTTGGAAAAATCATAATAAAAGTCAAACAAGTACGAAAAATTCTTTTGCCGAGCAAGCACGCCTGTTCTATGAATCGAACAATCACATGAAAATGATGATTAATGATTTCGAATCGACATACAAATCAACTAATCCACTTGTTTGGCTCGATAACCATCGTCATCCATTTCCCTATCGTCTCTTCATTTTGAATGCACTTCGTACTCATAATTTAGAGGCATTATCATATGTTGATTTTTTTATTACTGATATTCGCAAACAAATGAAACCGGTTACAACATCGAATACAAGTGGAGTCTACATTGGCACTAAACTTTCACTTTCATTTATCCAACAAATTGAACAACAATCAACAAAAGATATTATTGCATTTCAATGTTTTCTCACTGTGACACGATCAAGAGCAAATGCTCTTGCTACTGCGACGAGACCTAGTTTACGTCAAAATACTGAAAATGTACTCTTCAAAATTGATCTTAAAAATACTCTCTGTGCAACTGTGGGAGAAACGTTAATCATTGATTTGGCCACACCATTTCATATTACTTGTGTGACACGAAGTAATGCTAGCAGTGGACAACAACAACAATTGACTGTTATCAAAATGGTTGCAATCGAGAAAAGTGAAGCTCAATCATTGTTTGAGAAGTATTTAAAAATGCAACAAGAACTTGGGAAGAATTCTCATGAGCTTTTATATCGAATGTCCTACAAAATTTCGTAAGTTTGTCTTTTACATGTTTTTTTCGCTATAACAAGACGCCCCATCATTCAAAAAAGTTTGTTGAACAAACTATTCTACAACTATTACTTCTTGAAAAAAGCTTCATAATTGAAGAATAGCAAGTCAAAACGCAATTGAGATTTTCATGTACGTATTTGTAGATTTGCATTTAGAAAAGCAAAACTTCGACTAGTTTATGTAATAGTCAATCGTACTTTAATAAGTTTATCAAGGAAATTGAGAAAAACACACCACATTTCAACAAATAGTACTTTCAGTTTTCAACGACTCGAACTGCTGTTGAGACTCTAATATCTACTCTATCCTCGATGATGTTGCATGAGTGTCATTGCTTCAAGTCCCCACATTTGAGTTTTTTTAATGCCAATTTTCTAAGCTCGCACAAGAGTAGCCTGTATATTAATGTTCCAACTAAAAGGTGTCACTTCTAGTGGCGTAGGCAGAAAATAAAGCTAGAGGGAGCTCAGTTCCCACGGATGTACCAAAGTTCTAGACACAAAAGACAGTAAAAATTTTTGCAGCACTGTTGTAAAGTTATTTTTCGTTGCTTTCCTTTTCTATGATCTTTTTAAAGAAACATCGCGCAGCAAAAACCTTTTTGTCTTAGTAAAATTTACATATTTTGACATTGAAATAATTGTAGAAGAAATAAACATTCATTATTTGTTGTAGAAGAACGTAACGCTGGAGACGGTAGCTTCTTGAAAAATAAAAAAACATGATTGGCTCGAAACTGTACAATTCATTCAAATAGGAACTCATGATTTTGGAGCAATAGGCATAAAAATTATGTTATTTATTATCTTTGATTGCCGAAGCCACTCCATAATTAATGAAATCCTATTTCATATTCAAAACTGAAATGAAGAGAAGAAGTCAGAGAATCGAAATGTTACAGAAACAACCTAATTTGCGAAACGAAAATTTTTCAAAATGCAGGAAAATGGTATACTACACTATTTTTTAAGAAATATCTCATGAAAATCTGAACTTCTCTCTGTTATAAATGCTTGCTATTGTGAATAAACTATATGTATACTGCTATTAATACACGAGTCATAGGTAATTTCCTTCATCCAGAGAGGTCAGAAACCTTTCTAGAGGAGGCTCAAGCCTCCGTCTGGTTACGCCACTAGCCACTTCATCTGTATTTTTCTTCAGTAAAGCAAAGTAAACAATTTTACATTAACTGATAAAATAAAGCAGCTGTTTGTTATTCGATTTGCTGGCTTAACATTTTGCGCTGATCATGCTGAATCGTAGCATTTTCGTTTATGTATGTAGCCATCGAAAAATTTTTTTTTTTTTAAATCAATCTAGGAATATATTTTAAAAAAACAAACTGAGATTTTCAAGAATTTCTCAGATGAAAAATGCCGGTGTTCAGATTTTAATGAGAAAAATAAAACAAATTATTTTTATTATCAAACTATCAGGCTTGTATCTCTATGTTTGTTTATTCGTTTTATCTTAGACGATAACTGAAGACGAACTAGATACAACTTTTCTTATGTCATTGAACGCATAAAAAATAACTTACTTTTGAATTTTCCTTGACATAGTATTTTAACACGATCTATCTGTACGGTAAAGATTTTTCCTCATTTGTGATGCTATAAAGTTCGAAAAGATTTTTAAACTAAGTAACAGCTCATCGCTGGATTCGTTTAATTTTCAAGAATCAAGTTTTTCGAAAAGTTAAAAGTACATTTTTTAAAAACTATGTCAGAATTCCAAATGAGCTTAGTTGTAACAGCAAAAAATAAAAGCATTTATTTTATTACAATCTCTGGCAACTATTGTCATTTTCGAGTTATTTTGAACGCGATTGAACCTCACAAAGTTACGAATACTTTTATCCATATAGTTTTGATATAGAATATTACTCGAAATTTTGACTAAGTTAGATCGATTGATATGAATCAATCGGATCATTCATACCATCTATGATTTAGTATAGTATTGTTAAATGAGTTTTTTCTACTAGTGATCATGAGGCTAAAGCGATCGAGTATACACTGCTAGGTGAGTATCAACAAGCAGTAAGTGCTTACGCAGCTATCTCCGAACCAAATGCTCGTGTACTAAATGCCCATGGGCGTTTATTACATGAACATCTAGGAGATCTACTAAATGCTCTTGAATGTCATAAACGGGCATTGACTAGAGCTCAAGGTAATGACAAAGTTGAAACTTTCGTTCTACTCGGTACCGTTCATAATGGTCTAAAACAACATGACGAAGCACACAAATACTTGTCTGAAGCAGTGAAATTGCTCGAAAACGAAAAAAAGAAAAACCCATCAATGCTTGCCAAATGTCTTCTTGGTATGGGCACTGTACATTGGGCTCGTGAAGAACTCGACGATGCTCTCTCTTATGTTGAGCGATCACTAGCTATTCGAGAACAAGAAGTTAAACCGAAAAACGATTTTGATATAGCAGCGTGTCTCGGAAATATGGGCAGTATACTTTATCATAAAGGCGATATCAATCGAGCATTACAATGTGCTACACGAGCTGTTGAACTTTTGAGACAATGTACCAATGGTGATCCTCGGCTTGCGGCTGCATTGAATAATTTAGGTGCATTGCATCAAGCCAATGGAGATTTCGTCAAAGCTCGTCAACATTTTGAAGAAGCACTTGCTTGTCTGCATGATACTACTCATCCTTATCGTACAAGTACAGCGAATAATATAGCACGACTCAATCTACTCGAACACTCAAAGGAATGAGTTTCCTTCAATCGTGTAAAATTCTTCTTTTTTTATAAAATCAACATATATTTTTCAGAAATCAAGTCTTCGAAAACCTGTTGTAGTACCTCTATCTACTGTAATTACCATATAAATTCGCTAGATAGAATTCCGAGCATTTAATAGTGGTACGTTACGGGGTGGTTGTTGGTGTGTGGGTGTGAGGGTGGATGGGTGTGGGTGGGTAGTGTGATTAGGTGTGGGTGTGTGATATAATCATACTCAAGATCCCCTCTCTCACGAAACTCCATCACATATATGCATCTCCATGAGTCAAGACTCCTGCATCAAGCATCTGGTGCTGATGACTCAAGGAATCCTGACTCAGAGGATATAACCGTGTGATATCATGGCTGAAGGTCATGACACCTGCCCTCTTCAACACAATGGTGTACATACCATGATGGGAGATGAGAAAGAGAGAAAGAAAGAAAAGAAAAAAAAAGAAAAAAAACAAAGCAGAGAAGGGAACAAAACAAAAGCAAAAAGAAAGAAAAAGAAGCAGTGTAAGAAGAACGTTGAGGACGAGGATCGGTAGTGTTTAAAGAATTGTTGGAAGATTCTGGAATGTCATAACGAGTTAAAAAATCAGGTCCGGTATTGTCAGCACCTTTTCGATATTTAATTTCGATAATTTGAGGAAGAAGGTCCTGTAACTTTAAAAGCCAATTATCTATCCTTTTGTTTCGAAGGTTATAGTTTTTATGCATATTCGTAAGGGGTTTATGATCTGACTCAATAATGACAGATGAACTACCAATGCAGGGACGTAGTTGATCAAGACACCAACAAATAGCAAGAGCTTCTCGTTCCGTAGTGGAATATCGACTCTCAGTATCGGGTAATAACCTAGATTTATAATAGCATATCTTTAAGCTGGTAGGAGATTTTTGTTTGAGAACACCGGCTATGCGAGTAAGACTGGCATCCGTGGTTAAAATGAAAGGAAGAGATGGATCAGGGAAGTGAAGAAAGAGTGGGGAGGTAGTTAGAATTCTGTTGAACTGTTCAAATGCAGCTTGTTGTTCTTCATGCCAATAAAACTCATGTCGTTTTATACGTGTCTTATTGGTAACTTTATATGAAGGAGCAGCAATAGCTGCAAAATTATCTATGAACTTTCGATAGTAATCTATTTTTCCGAGAAATTTATTTGCTTGTGACAAAGTACGAGTTGCTCAGTCAGACAAGCAACGAAAAATAACGCGTAAAAAGGCGTAAAAACCGCACATTTTTGCGATTTTATTTTCGTTAAAAATATTAACGCGTTTTTTGCAGAAATAAGTGACTTTTTAGCAGAATAACACCTATAATCCCTACATTTACCTTGTTTGAAACTATAAAAATGGTTCATAAGGAACGTAAGAACAGGGGTTATAGGTATTATTCTTCTAAAAAGTCACTTATTTCTGCAAAAAACACGTTAAAATTTTTAACGAAAATAAAATTGCAAAAATGTGCGGTTTTTACGCTTTTTTACGCGTTATTTTTCGTTGCTTGTCTGACTGGGATACGTATTAAATTAACACAATCACTTATTAATATTAATGCATTTTCATCGGATAAAGATTCAATCAATAATATTTCATGTTCATATTGTTAATGATGATTATTATTTGTATTTGATAATGTTGGTAGTATTAATGTTAATTTATCTATATTTTTGTTTATTATCGGTTTATCAAATGTAAACATAATTGGTTGTTTATTATGTGTATCTTCATTTATTTGTAACATAGTATTAAATTGTATAATATAATTTTGTCTTTCTATAATAACTATACATGATGGTTCATCATTCGTATATGTATGATCAATTTATTTATTATGTACTTCAGAATAATTATACCATTGTAGAGTACGTTCATCAAACCATTGCCATATACGTTTATAATCACGATAATTTTGGTTTATAATTGAATAACGTCTTGATGCTACTGATATTTTTTCATATAGATCAATAAATATAAATGCTGAAGTTAACCATGTTGGTGTTTTTTTTTCATTAAATTTAATTAAATAATTCGTTGTACGATAGATTAATATAGAAAAATAATGAATTAATGAAAATTTTTCAGTTATACGTGCACATGGAAATGGTATTTCTTTAAATAATAATGATATTAATAATGTTCGACTAAATAAAATAGAATTTTTGTGATCATTTAAAAAATTTAATATTAATTGTTCATTGTATTGATTTAAATGATTTGTATCTAATAAATCAATTAAATATGAATAACTTGTTTTAATATCATTTGCTATTATTTCAAGAAAATCATCACACCATATAATACCATTACGATGTATTGTTATTAGAGTAAGTTCACAGATTTTATAAACAGTATTAGATAATATATCAAGAATTTTTAATATAATATTATTTGTAAACTGATCAACAGATTCTTTTGATAATGATTTAATAATTAGTAAAGATTTTTGTTGATTTAAATTATCAATGAATGTTTGATTATTTGTTATTTTTGTTGTGTCAATATGTGAATGACTAAAGCAATAATCAACAAGTAATTCAAGATTATTATTTCTTTTTAATAAACTTTCAATAGCATGTTCATGTGAAACACTCATATTTGTTATTGATGATTGTATAAGTTCTTCATTTAATTGTTATTGTTGTTGTTGTTCATCTTGAAGGTTTTTCTCAACTTCGGATTCATCATGTAATATATGACAAAATATTGATAATATATTATTAATTATTTCAATTGTATGATCTTTTAATAAAAATGATTTATTCTATAATACAGAATATGAATTTGTTAATATATGAAATGTACGTTGATGTATTCCGGATAAATAATGTAAAGGATTAAATCATATGTTTGAATGCGGAAATTTAACAATTGATTTGATATTAACTAAATGTAATATAAGAGCTAATGTTGAATTAATAAATTCAATTGATAATGCATCATTTGTATTATTTAGCTGAGATGTTTGTTGTTAATCTATTGTTAATGATTGACGATTTATTATATTAAGTGTCCATTCAAGAGCAGAAAATAATGCATCTAAAACTTTGCTTAATTGAAATTGTTCTAACATTAACAGAAAAGGACGATGATGCTCATCAAATAACATAGGAGTAGCAAAACTAAATAAGAAAAAAAGAGGAAAAAAATTTAAATTTAATCTTTACAATAATCTTCTGTTTCACGGCTTGATACATATTTGGTACTTTTTATGTACATGACCAAGTAAAGGATCAGATTTTGGTTATTTATTAATTACTCTCAGAAAAAAAGTCAATAGAAAGTTATTTCTTGTTGTTTTCTCTCAAAAGCTACTATTCAAAAGCTATTTTTCGACTAGATATATGCTATTTACTCTAGAGTTGCAACCGGTTCGGTTCAACAAATCTTTCAAATTGGTGAAACCCAACCGAAAGCAACTAATTTATTAAGCTATTTTTACTAACTTAAGATGATGTTTTCGAAAAATACTGTTTTTCTTTGTTCTTTACAATATCACAAAAAGAAATACATGTTTCAATGTGTGTGACAGTCTGTAAGTTCTCCGAAAGTTTTAAAAGTGGTGTTTTTTTCAGTGCAACACAAGGTTTTTAAATTCTAAATAGCTGTTACCGAAGTATATAAAAGAACCTATTCGCTAAGTAAATAACAATGTTAGAATCAAAGTACTCAAAATATTCGACTATTTCTAACTACTACTGAGCATTAGTTACTCAGTAAATTTGAATATTTTTTTTAACCAAAATGATCATTAAATATTCACTAAAATATCACGATTCGGAATCTTTTTATTGTTAGTGGTATTGGCTTGTTTTTTTGATAAAGATGTCTAAATTTAAGCCTAGTTCATATAATAATTTTGATTATGTTTAGTATGAAGTAACAAAAACTGATAAATGATATTCGAAATAGTTCTGATAAAAATCTAAAATCGAGAGAGAATAGACTTATTTTGAACAATTTTTTCAGACCGAGGAAGTATCATTGCTATTTGACTGGTCAGTCTCTATTAAAATAAAAATTTCTTACCCTATTGTATAAACAGAAAATGTTAAACGAAATTTTTCAATTTGATTTTCTGTTAAATTCATATTTTCTGGTAAATGAAATAAAAATCCATCTCTTAATACTTCTGTTAATATTAATGCAACAAGTTTTGTATCTGTTGTTGGTATATAAATATTCGATTGTTGATTAAGATGTCTAATAGATCACATTGTTAATGTTGAACATTTTTTAACAAGTAAATTATAAAATTCATTTTAATAATTCTATCAAGTTTAGATGAAACACATAATAATGATTTTATTATTTGAATACAGATGTCATTTGTGATTGGAAATAATTTTAATAAATAATTTTTATTAAATTTTTGATCAATTATATTTGTTTCAAATGAACATAAAGATAATAATATAGATTTTTCCCATATTAATGTTAAATATAATTTATTTAATTTTTTTAATACACATATACCGATTTCAGTTCCCCAACAGCGAATTAATAAATTACATAGTTCACTTTTAGTTATTTTACATAATGATATTAATAGTGAACTATTATAAGTGCGATTTAAATAAAAATCTGTTAAAGAATTTAATATTTTAACAAGATTTGTTATAACCACTTCAATTAATTTATTATCTTCAAGTAGAAGTGTCTAAAATAAAACGAACAAAAAAAAAGACAATCTTTATTTTTTCTATAGGAAATTATTCGTCTATAATTTTGTTATTTTTTATGTAATTTTTGTAATGAAAGTTGTCAAGATATAGGATTCGTGTCTCATGGGATTATTTCCGACTGTCTCTGCTCTTATCCTAATTCTAATTGTCATTCTTAGAAATTACGGATGAAAATCGTCCCAAATTGGTAGATATTTCTCAAACAGAACCATATTCAGTAAGATTCTTTTGTCTATTACTGAAAAAAAAACATATCTTGCGAGACACATCCTGAGGTCTGTTCTATGTCTGAAAGCACATTTTCTTTTGCAAAACGATCTTTCGAAACAAACACAAAAGACCTTAAAATACGATCAATATGTATTCAATCACTCTTTTTCTACAATTAACAATTGTATTCATTCAAGTGTGCTATAGATTAATAATATCAAAAAGACAAACTGTATTCACACTGCAGCGTCCTTGCTATGAGTGTGGAGTCATACCCCTGTTTGTCACATATTAATTAAGAACTTCGGAAGTAGAAGTGACACTTTATCTTTACAATACCAAGTAGAGTAAAGTTGAGTTATTTTACTTTTTCAAAGTAAAATAAAGATAATGAGTCTTTCTATTCGAGAGGACAAACAAAATCTCCAGAGCAACATAACCTTCGCAGCCTTCATATAGAATCAAACACCAGTGATAATCATGATGATCAGAATGTTATTCTTATTCTTATAAATCTCTTCTTTCTTCGATCCTCACAAACATAGATGGATCAAAGATTTATTCTATTATTAACTACATACGCGTCAGTCCTACATGACACTTCCGAATCGCCTCGGCCGTTTTAGACACTCGCTGGGGTTTAGCCCACCGATACTGGGAGTTACTCACTCTCAGCTACAATGTTCCTAATATGATATATGGAACAAGGGTCTTCAATGACTTTTCCCGATGTTAAAATCACTACCTTTCTTGTTTTTTCCCAAAAGTCATTGATTAATTCCGCATGTGCAAGCACAACGGGTCATTAGACATCACCATTTTCCTATCTTACAGCAAGGTGATTTTTAATGATCCTGCTCGTTCCCAAAATCGCACTACGTTGCATTCTCTCGAGACAGTCGCCAGTTGCTACCTGAGCTAAGCCAATTTTTTCCATTAAATCTCCTTTTAGGTTCGAAAGCACTTCGCCACATGTGCCAAGGACCACCGGTAAGAACGAAACTTTCCATCCAGCAGTTTGTAATTCACGTAGTAAATTATCTCCTACTGGGTATGGCAGTTTCGTAACTTCTTCCCAATTACCATTGACACAGTAACGATTTGTTTTTATTTGTACCTATCTTTCTATACCAGTAAACCATGATATTGCAACCTCGATTATCAAGGCTGTCTTTCCTGGCTTATCGAAGATTATCAAATCTGGTTTGTTATGGCGAATGATCGTTTTGGTTTGTACGGGTTGATTCCAATACAACTTTATCCTCTCATTCTCTAGAACCGATTCCACTTTCTGTGAGTAGTGTGCAGGAGTGAAGCCGTATTTTTGACATATTCTATAGTGAATGTTTCTAGCAACTGAGTCGTGACGGTCGATGTATAGGTTCGACAACCACTTGGAACAACTTGAAAGGACATGCTCAATTGTTTCAAGGTGGCACCCACACGCCCTACAACTCTTATCGTTCGAATTTGCTTGTGAAGGATGTGTGCGCGTTATTAAGCATCCTTCTTGAGCTGCTAGAGCATTCCTTACCGCTACCGATGATAGTTTCCCTTGCTTGAGCCAAGTAAAGGACTCTATCATATCCATGCTAGAGTTTGAACGTAGAACACGTCCTGCTAGCTCTAATTCTTTCCATGTTTTGTACCGTCCGTTGTTATTGACAGTACGCATTAGCCCGACCACGTGTTTTGCTAAGGTTCTTGCGTCGTTAAAAGAAGCACCATCTATAATGACAGTGGAACGCACTTCTTCCAACTTATAGTCTATATCATATGCCTTTATAATGCTGCCTGCATCACTAACTACACATCGTTTCCCCCGGTTAACCATTCCCAAAAACAGATTTAATGATCCTTTTAATTCTGCTTTCGTACAGAGATACGCCCATAGGTATATGGTGGACTCCTCTATGGCGTCCTTAATCGATTTGAGACCATATCCTCCCATTTCAGCTGGCAGGTACAATCTTGCTACACAGCTGGATTTTTGTCTAGCTTTAAGCTCCACAAGTAGTTTGCGGTACTTCTTATCTAGATCTTCGCCCCGTTTTAAGACACTTGCGTATGTACCACTACCTTTAATTATGCAACTGGCTATATACTTAAATACAGGAATGATAGTGGTGTTATAGGAATTCACTGTTTGTCGAAAAGTAAGATCGGAATCCCATAAGCGACGTGCTTTATCATAACACCTGTCGTTCGCACGATCCCATGCTTCAGACTCCTTTAAACCTAGCTTCTGTTCCATGCCCAGATATTTGTAGACTGCTTCACCATCTAGCATCGGGAAGCTTATACTTCTGTCAGTAGATGTGTCATCATCTACATCTGTCTGTTCACTTCGCATTCGTTTCGGTATAAAGTGTGTTACAGCACATTTTTTAACATTCAATTTCATGTTAATGTCCTCTGAAATTGATGCTACGACTTTGATCTGTTCCATTAGACTTTCAGGTGAGTTTGCGTACAGCTTAAGATCATCCATATAGAAAAGATGAGACAACGAGATTTGCACCTTTTTAAATTTCCCAGAGGCGGTGGTATAGCCACCTTTAACACTATTTATTGCGTGACTGATGGGAGCCATCGCTAGACAGAACAACAAGGGACTGAAGCTATCTCCTTGAAGAACTCCGGAACGAATCCTTAGATAATTACTATGTTCTATCTTACCTCTAGGACTTCTCGCTTCATATCGTACTCTCCAATTATTCATGACGCTTTTCAAAAACTTTCGTAACAGGTCAGGAACTTGCATTACTTTGAGCAGCCATTTGATATAACTATGTGGCAGACTATCGAATGCCTTTGCATAGTCTATCCAAGCTACGCTAATAGGTCTCTGCTTCTGATCCTGTGCGTCTGCTATTAACGTTTGGTCAAGAGTGAGAGCATGTGAGCAAGCCCACACGCCCCGTCGTAATGCTATTTGCTCGTTGTTCAGTATATCTCGCCCCCTCACATACTGATCTAAATATGCGGCTATAAAACCGGTTACTAGCTTGTAGCAGATATTTAAACAAGCTATAGGTCTGAAATTCGCGGGATCAAACCTAGATCCGGATTTATGTATGAGTACTATACGTCCATCGGTTATCCACCTCTGCGGTAAGGGTTCGCCAGATAAGATATGATGAAGAGTTAAATCATAAAGTGTTGCATTGGCTGAATCGAAGACTTTCCACCAGTACCCCTGCAACTTATCTGGACCATGTGCTTTCCATGGCTTTATCTTTTGAACAACCTTCTGCCAAAGTTCAGGGTTCAATCGACCTTTAAGATCAGTCTCGCCCTGAATATTTGACATCGATTGTTCCCATGCTACTAGCCGTGAACTCTTCGAGTTAAAAGACTTTTTCACCCCTACAATTTCTTTCCAGAACTTTCTGATCTGATGGATATCAACTGGTTCTGAATCAGTACACGTGCCTCGGAATAGCATCTTAGCCGGCATCTGACGAACGCGTACACGTTCCTCATCTGCTTTCCTTAATGCTATTCGCGATTGTAAAAGTTGAAGTCTGCACTTCAATCTTTCTACAAGAGATGTTATTTCAGCCCGTGACTCCACCTTATATTTCTTTTTAAGCATCTTGATAATAGAAAGCTACTTACTTGTAAGGGCTACTTCCGCACTTCTCACCCGTCTATTTAACTCACTAGTAGCTTTACCGATGACGCGGCGCAAATTCTCACATTCGCTATATGTGATCTTAAACCATTCTCTTGATCGTTGTTGTTTTTCAAGACATTTTCGGTTTCCTATCTTAGAAACTGTCATCGCACCAGCTTAAACTAGATTTGACAACTGATTCCAAGATATTCCACCTACTACCAAATCTAACTCACTTTTTATCAGTCGATTAACTTCGCAGATGATAGGCTTAATATGCTTGCCGGAGACTCTTAGTGGCGTCTTTCTCAACGTCATCCGACATCCTATCTTTTGTGCCTTTTTATATTCTTTCCTGAAGGTTGACTTAACAACATCATCAGTCAAATCAGCCGGTACGCATTGATCTGGTTTTACGACTGTAGAGTTTACATCGTTATTATTACTACCGGCGTTGTGGTTAACATCTACAGTAGTGTCAGATGGAATAGTAACGACTTTCAAATGCAATTTCGTCTTCTTTTGTGTCAAAGACGAATCACTAACACTCACACTGGCGGATTTGGTCTTGATATCACGCCACTTGCTGCTAAGGCCTGCCTTAGTCCTTTTGGGCAGATTCAGATCTATCCAAGCTTTTTCGACGTCATTCCAAGATATCGTACCTGAGGGTGTGACATTGCTTGGAACTAATCGCTTTAGCTTTTCAATTTCCTCTTCTGACCAAACTGATGCCTTCCCCGATCCAGCGGGTTTGTCACCACTCGGTCCTTTTCCTCCTTGCGGAGGCCTATTTTCGAACCGACGAGTGGGTGTAGGAGCCACATGAATGCCAGCACTAGGACCTTGATCTTGGCTAGAAGTATCGACAATTACTGCTGGGGCAACTGCACGACGACTTCTAGTTGCAATAGGTTGCCGAGATTCGGCACTCGATCGCTCAGCCAGTCCGGATAAGGATGCTGCGCGCTTCCCGTCACCGGGTTTCACTGATTAATAGAATGTAGCTGTCTCTAGATGATGTCCTCCAGAGACACACATTATGCATCATTTTATTTCGTCTCTATTGGCTACTGCGGCAGACATCACTAATGCCTGGACTACTAGCTATGCATGCATCACAATCTTTGACAAAGTCAATATCACCATTGTGTCCTTCTTTGCACAAGAATAGTTTGTTGAATCGATCTTTGTTGGGTTGACCAACAGTAGCCGCCTCGATCTTGGCACCGTACTGTCCTATGGCCATTAAGTTGGAACCACAATAATGAAGTCCTCCATGACAGTTTTCTCCGTTAATGATCAACATTCTCAATAGGATGAGTAATACAATGCTGATAACTGCTGCTTTCATTGTTTTCTATGCTTGAGTACCGGCGAATGTGAAGTCGATCGATGTCGATAAGAGACACAGTATCTTCTAATATTCTAGAATTCGAAAGAGAAATTTAAAGTCAGTCAATAGATAAGATCTTAAAATCTCATAAAAAAAGATGT